TGTGTCTCGCTACATAGATATTTCCCTAATCAATGCGTGTGATACCTGTAAACCTAATTTTCCGTACCTATATATACTCATATTTGGCGGCTACTGTTATAATTTAATATTATGTTTGTAAACTTACATTTTTATTTATATTGCTTACCTTCATTACTTACACTATTTACATTGTTTGCTTTACATCTTACTCTTTTGCTTGATATATATATGTATAGTATTTAGAGTTAGGTATATATTTTGCGTGTGATGCACTTTGGTGGCATGGCTTACTGGGCTGCGTTCGCTCACCATGTGGCAGAAAATACTGGCAGAAAACCGGCACTGTTTGACTTCTCTCGGTCTACAGTATTTATGCTGAGTCAGGGCCATTTCAGCACAAACTGTAGTACATAGGTACATTAAAATTTTATCAGTTCTTATAGTATTTGTTTGTTTTTCTCACAGTATTTGCTTTTCTCGCAATATGTGTTTTATATAGTGTGAGTGTGATAGTGTGAAGTGATTGTAAATGTTTTGTTTTTGTGTTTGTATTTGTGCTGAATAAACATGTTATCTATCTATCTATATTTTCTACATTCAGGTCTTCTCATATTTGGTTCTTTGCTTTGAAACTCATCCGCGTACAACGGTATAAATTTCAATTTTCCACCATATCGGGAAGTATGCGTTCTATTTCTATCAGTGAGTACTAAACTTGTAGCTTTATATATAGAACATAAGCTTTTGTGTTCATACTTTAGTTGTGTTGTTAAGAATACAGTGTTTCCTAGGTAAAATGTAGAGAGCATTGTCCAATATAATGGCCTAATGTGACTTGGTAACTTATTCACATTCATAGTCGCGACTGTAGTGGAATATATTGACACAGTACAATTATAAAACAGAAAAACAAGAAAAAATTAAAAAACAGAGGGATATAAATAAGGTTAGAAGTAATTATTGTACTAAAATAGTCATTACCTGCGTGCTTGCGGCAATTAATATCCGCATTCATATTGATTGCTTGTAGATATTATTGTTTCAGAGTAAATTAAATGTTTGTTAATTGGTTCTATTACCACAAACTAATAAATCCTTGTTAACTTAAAACCAATACAATAAATACTCGTAGCGAAATTGAAATTCTGTTTTCGCGGAAAATATTAAATAGAAATTAATACAAAAATCGAACACTCAGAAAAAATTCCTTCGATCCGGTCGGATTCGAACCGACGTCTTCTTGCATACCGTGGCAGACGCTAAGCCACGGAACGAACCAACGGACCTCACGAATTTCTCTATGTGCTTGCGTCGTGTCTTTGTACTTGGTCTTTCAACGACTTTTTAGTCGTAGCGCCATCTATTAGAATTCTATGACAGATTTATCACCCAGTTAGTACCGTTACAGCTACCAGTCCTGGCGGGAGATGTCGCTATTCACTGTATTAATTAAATTTTTATTGAATTGATATTCAATTATTTTTTGTGAAATTACTCCACTAGTTTGTTATAATTATTAATACATCTCATCTCATCAATATCAATTCAATAAAAATTTAATTAATATTAAATAGAAGTTTTTAAAATTAAATGTTCACATGGAAGAAACATGCACAAAAATGTATCGTACGTAGACGTTTTGATCTTTGTGTCCTACTTGTAGTCTTTGGAAGAATTAACACATGTATCATATGCAGCGACTTTGGCGACTTCCGTTAGTTGTAGCAAAAATATGAATGACTGCAGTTACAATAATTAATTTCTGGACGACGATTTATTTGTAACAACATCTCCGGCCGCGTAGGAATTTGGGAACTGGAGAGACGCCATTCATTCGGCGTCGGGGAGTGAGCGTGTCTTACAGCTCCGCCACCAATGAGGAGAATTGGTAGTGGACTTAAAGTCGGCGGCTCAGCGGCGGCAACCGTTAGTTATGCGGACGGGAAGTGAGCGTGCTGCAGGCACCGGCACCGGGTAGGACCTGATTTAGATGGTCCCAGTGCGGGTTCGCTTGCACAGGTCACAGTGCCCTTCCCGCATAACCAAGAGGTTGATAGGGAGGGGCACTATAAACAAAACTTATTTAGAAACAAGTGGGAATGTAACAACACTTCAATGAAACTTGTATCATGTTATTTATTATATTTTATTTAATAATAAATTTACAAAAGTTTACTTTTGGAATAAATGATTATTTGACTAAAACATACCTCGTCGTCCAGAAATTAATTATTGTAACTGCAGATTGGGCAGTCGTTCATATTTTTGCTACAACTAACGGAAGTTGCCGAAGTCCCTGCATATGATACATATGTTAATTCTTCCAAAGACTACAAGTAGGACACAGAGATCAAAACGTCTACGTACGGTACATTTTTAAGTAAAATTTTACACTGACCTCCCTGAGAAGAACGAGAAAGCAAGAAACTCAGGGATTGCTCTTTTGATACAAACTTAAATGCTATGGAAAACACTTTGTGTGGAATCTAGACCCATGTTGTCTTTCCATACATCTTTATCTAACACATAGTTTTCAATTTTGTAATATAATTTTTTAATTAAAATATTTATGATGAATGTTATTGTAACAATTTACACAGTTTCCTATAAAATAATCGTTTACATTAGTTAAACAAATCGTGATACCATGAGTTTGGACTTAGTTCTAAGGTTATTAATATTATGGATCTTTTTTCTGAATAAAATTATGTATATTTTTACGGTCATACAAAATATCCGAGTAAATATACTATGATGCCACAGTCATGATACCAGTCTCCTTAAACTTTTCGCTGAGCGAAACCCTTAGTACTTATTAATCTAAATATGGCAGCGCAACAAAAACTTGAGTAGGTTTATCCGTGTACCGCAATTCATTGATGGGAGTTCATAACAAAGTTGGCAAACCCTTTTGCTTACTTGTAAAGTGCCTACTCAATTTGTAAAGTATCACTGAAAAAAGAAGCAAGTAAACAACTATCATGGGAATAATAAGCCCCAGTAATATATATTTTTTCCTCTGAGCGGCACTGCAACTGTTATGGACAGGCGTGTCGCTTACTACCAGGTACATCACTTGTTCATCCCGTCATTTGGTATCATAAAAAAATATGTAGGATGTTAAAATTTATAGTTAAGTAGATTAAAAAAATAGTGTCGTGTGTGTCGGTGTGGGTAATAAAAATTAGATCAGTCTATTTATTATAGTTATTTTTAAGTTTGGTTTTGATGTTACCAATTAATAAATAAATAACGCACATACTTATAGCCCCGCACTAGGGAAACCTTGTGTCGCGGGTGCCATGACACATAGACATGCACAAATTTCACCCGAACTTACGAGATAAATAAATGTAGGTCATACAAATATTTCTCCCGGCCCGGGAATCGAACCCGGGACATTTGCGTAGCAAACTAGCATGGTAACAGTTCGGCCACGGAGGCAGTTAAATTGTTGAGTTATTTTTAATTTCTGGCGGTAATTTAGGTCATCTTGGCATTTATCTCATTAAATAGAGAATCTTTCTAAACGTATCCGAATATTACTTTATTCTAGTTTCGCAATATCATTGTAGAAGTATAATTAATTCGGCATTCGTTATTGCAAAGCAGTCCACGTATCCTAGTATAGGTTAACGCTATACAGAAATGTAATTAATTATATAAAGTAACTTTGAAATCACGTACGTCAATCATGAATGTGTTGACCACACCTTGAGTTAAATTCACCATTTACGTGAAACTTTGTTCATAATCAGTATTTCCTTTCGTAGTAGTTGTTATGCCCTTCTGGGCACAGCTCCCTATTTAGCAACAACATTAAATCTGTACACAAAGCACGTGAGTGTGACAATCGCTCTATTGTGGCAAGTGGACACGATGCTCATGTTCTCACCCGTAAAGGTAACTCACGTGACGTCGTTTTGAGGGTAAATTGAGTGCATTTTTAATCTTTAATACAATGGCTCAATGTTCTTTAAAAGCATCTTAGAGCGGTCACACACGGTGACTTTTAGCAGCGATACAAACGCGTCTTTGTGGAACGCGCGATTGCAGCGCGACATTACCGTTTTATGGGCGGTTGCATTGATGCAAACGCGCGACTGCATCGATGCAGTCGCTCATGTTGAATCATTAAAAACGTGCATCGCATTTGCATTTTGCGTGCTTAAGTCGCGCGTGTGTAAAGGTGGACGACTAGCGACTGCATCGCCTCTGCAATTGCTGCAGATGTGCTGCTAAAAGACGTGTATAACGGCTCTTATAGGATCATACCAATTACGTATTCTCATGTAAAACTATAAATTCCTATGTTAGCTTTATCGGGAATTGAACCCGTGCTGTGATTAATTGCTGATGAAACAAAACAAAAAAAGTCATACGACATAAGAACGTGTATCGACATATTTGGCCTTACTACAATTCTTAGTCATAATGATAAAATTAAAACAGCACTTCGTTATTTTTAAATTACTTTTGAAATGAATACTAAGCTAATTGTGTTGTTAATGAAGTTGTTATAATTATGCAATGCTAGTGACGAGTCAAGTAAAGTCTGAATGAATTTGCAAGAGGGTTAAATAGCACTTAGTAGCGTCTGAAATTTTGTCATAATTGTTAATGGTATTACATTTTGGCATTTTGAATATAAGTAGTCCTTTTCCACGTAAAGTACATATAACTCACTTTTTGGAATAGTATCATTTCTACTTTATATGTTGTTTTAAGATTCATATGTTTATTATTCATTACATATATGTTTATGTTTACACTGAATTTTATTAATTCAGAAAGTGTGTGTTATCCCCGCATATTATTTATTTAGATGCAGTGCAATCTTATGTAATCCCAGTTTGAATAGATTTTGTCAAATTATACATAAGATGTTTGTTGTTTACGTGGTCATTCTGTAATAAATATTTAAGTAATATTTTTTTGTCCGGCCACGAAGTAATTTAAATGTATCTATAATTATATATTATAACATGTCTTGAAAAATTTAATGAATTATACAAATATTTATAAACCACTTTTATATTTTTATTGTCATTGTACAAAAATAAATATACAAATTTAACATCACTAGATATGAACACAGTCGGTTAAGGTGATCACCAGCCGTAGTTAGCTGCCAGGCCACTGTATGACACGTGGGAGACCGCGGGCGCAGCTGAGTATTTCAAGACGGGAGAGGCGGCGTAAGTTGCTACGGGAGCATGGGCGTATGTGGCCACAGGCGCGACTGGAGCAGCATAAGCTACGGGAGCATGTGCTGCGTAGGTAGCCACTGGAGCGGCGTAACTGGCAACGGGAGCGATAGCCTTAGCGTACAAAGGCGCCGCGTGGGCAGTGTGCGTCGAGTAAGAAGACACGGAAGATACGGCGGGAGCGACGGCTTTCACTACTGGGGCGGAGTAGGCGACGGGAGCATGTGCGGCGTAGGTCGAGTATGCGGGAGCAGCGTACGCTGAGTACGCAGGAGCAGCGTACGCTGAGTACGCAGGAGCGGCGTACGCAGGAGCGGCGTACGCAGGCGCGGCGTAGGCAGAGTATGCGGGAGCGGCGTACGATTTAATGACCGGGGCAGCGGCGTAACTAGCCACGGGTGCCGCAGCATAAGCAGCTACGGGGGCCGCAGCGTATGAAGCCACAGGAGCGCCGAGTAGGTTGCCGGCGCGAGCGGCCGCCACCGCGCATAGGAAGATGACTAACTGCAACGAGGAAAAACAAATTTCAGTTTTGTAAGGAATTGAAAAAAATGTTAAAGCTGTGGAGTTTTTTCTGGCAGTTACTGTTATTTTCTATTCCGAATTATGCAATACTCAGGTTTTTTTTTATTTGTCCATCGCCATGTAAATTTTAATAATGTATTTTTCATTTATTTTAAAACTTTTTAAGGTATTGTTATCTATCACACGGCAAGTGAATGTGTGCTACGCAAGTAAATGTTCGAAGTCTCGTAAAATAAAACGGACAGTCCACAAATAACATTTTACAAATCTAAAATCCATTTTAACGCTTCACTTCGAATATGTGCACTATACAGAACTGAATCCCGTACCTTGGCTGCCATTATGCTATATTAAATTCACTACTGCAAGTGATATTGCTACAGAGTTTGCACGAACATTTATACTATTCTCGTTACCCCCGTACGTAAACGGCTGGCACAATCGGTGTCCTAGCATTCCACACAAGTTTCACTTTATACGCCAAGGGATATACAACAGCATCAAAGAGTAACTTAAGTCCTTGACTGTAGATAAAATAATGTAACTTGGACTTGTTAGAGCCCTGTCGCAAATGTCGGTCCAAACCAACACATACTTTTAATCCATTAAATTTTATGGGAGCAGTGCAACGTAATTACCATATGCGCTTTATGTACTGCACGTTAAATGTTTGAATGATTAATTGAAGCTAAACTTGGATGTGGGCATTTGAATTATAAATCGGGTGCACACTTTCTGAAATACATATTTCTTGCTTCGAATAACATTTTTTTTTTAATTGTACTTCGACAGACTTATCACGACATTTAAAAATCTTAATCAAGTTACCAACCTTCAAACAGGTTCCCTGTCCGGTGTCGCGATGCCTATGAACAAAATTCGGGTTCCTATTCTTATATTATTTCTGAGAGTTGTGTCACAAAATTTATTATTTTATGGTACTACGCAATAACATCCTAAATGTTCATATTTTTGTTAAGTAATTATGGTTATCATTTGGCAATATCAATTTAATCAATAATTATGTCAGATTTTAAATCCTTACGTTCTACTATAAATTCGTAGGTGATCTGAACCCACCTTTTCATAGTCACAGCTCATTACGCAAGAACATATGCGCTTTTGTTTAAGGGCGGGAATGTCGACACACGTGGACAGGTCAGTCGTGTACCAAATCCTGTACCCCATACGTCTCTATCAAACTCCGCATTGTAAGCACAACTTGCCTCACAATAGGCCACAATGTGAAGTAACGCCATTGTTGTAAAATTTACCGCCGTATCTGTATGGGGTTAAGGATTTCTGTCGCTTTATATATTACGGTGTCTTGTTACGTTATATCACGTTTTACCATGTGTCTCATAGGACTAACTTACATATCTACTTAGCTATATTTGGAGTTTAGCTGGTTTAAGTGTGAAATATTGGGGTATATTGATGTGTTCTATTTCAGTTTTAAGAAGTCTTGTTATGTCAAGGATATATGCAAAGATACACGTCTGGTTTGAGTAGTTAATGTTAAATTAAAGAAGTTATGAATATTTTCTGAGTTATTGGGATTAATAGCATTCTGTGCGGTTTTTCTTTACATATATGGATGTAGTTACTTGGCTAAACTACTTAATTGGCTGTTAGAATGCCACTACTGTGCCTCCACAACTTTAATGTGCTGGGAACTTGAATTATGCGATTCGAAGTTGACACATTGCCTCATACTTGGAGTACATTTATAAAGTCATACATAATGCACTATTCTGTGTTTAAAAATGATAAATAAAAAAGATGAGATTTAAATTGTTGATAAAAATTTATTAAATAAATTACAAGAGATACTAATAAAGATGGTAAACTTAGAGAATAATGGAATAAATTATACTTAAATAGAAGTCAGTCGCGTGAACCATGAATATTATTTGTTATTTTTTTTACCAAGAGTAGCTAGTACCAAGACCTGTGAACGTCATGTGAGAAACCAAAGGAGCTTCGGAGTATGTGATCTTAACAGGATGAGCAGCTACAACTGGCGTTTGGGAAGCATAATTGGGCAGTCCAGAAGTGATCGTCTTGGCCACTACAGGATGCGAAATAGCCACTGAAGGAGCTGATATAGTCTTAACAATAGGGGCTACAGGATGAGTAGTATATGTCACTGGAGATATAGACTGGACTAATGGCGTTGCAACATTGTAAGTCGGCAGTGAATGTAATACTGTTTCACTGGTCGTGCGCGAATCATAGTTCTTCAAGCTCGCGAATGGCGTGTCCAAAGATTTGATCAACGTATCCTGTCGTGTTCCGTCCAAGGATTTTGTCGTGCTCTGATGAGTGGATAATACAGAATCATAGACTGGAGCAGAATACGCCTTATTGTATGAAAATGGTGTATATGTCTTCCCTACTAAAGGAGTCACAGTATTTATCACTGGAGTGTTGATTGAAGAATACACAGTGGATACTGATGGTGCTGGCGCGAAGTCGTGGATGACTCCAGCTTTGGCTAAAGCCACTGTACAGAGAATTATAAGTACCTGGAATTAATACAGTAATATAGTTGATATTTAATTAAATCTAAAAAAGGTCATTTGTTGAAAATAATATCAACATGTTTGAAAAGACAAGGGTTTTCGGACTGTTTTACTATCGAGTTACAATAAAGGACAGTAAAAAGCTTTTTCTTTTTCATAACATCAAGTGACGGGACGAACAAGTCATGCGCCTAATGGTACACTACACGCCTGTCCATAACAGTTACAGTGATACTCTGAGCTTTAAATTTCAACCTGAGATAAGTTGATAAGCCCCATGTGTCATTAATTTCACCAGCACCCTTACCCTTCAAAACCGGAACACAGAAATGCTGCATTACTGCTTGGCGACAGAAATAGGTAAGGTGGCATTACTTCCCTGGAGGAACTCTTTCATAAGGAGCTCTATTGCTACTTAAAAAAAAAATTTAAAAAGTCAAAATTTAGCAAAAAAATAAATACAATTTTTTTCACCTTACCTTCATGGCTGTAGTTTTCGGGTTCAAGACATCGAATGTCAATATCTCTCTGGGTCAGTCTTTTTATACTCTTCCAGGATAAAATTGATGCTCATTAAATCCGCCTTTTTTACAACCGAATAAAAGTCATGCATCAATATTCAAGTGCAATTGCACTCCAACCAGTTTGTGACCTTAACCTCGGTTTAAAGATACATGATGTGCATCAAGATGCAGTTCGCTTTTTCTGAGCAGAACCATGGTTTAATTTCAATTTGCACAAAAATGATTGAAAGTCGGAATTTAATATCAACACAAAATTCCTAGATGTATCGAAGTTATTAATTGTTACATAGATCGTTTTTGCTGATTTTTAATAAAGCAAAACTTTTTAAATACCGGGACACAAAGATCCGAAAGGACTGATACATAAGTTGACAAGTCCCATGTGCCTTTAATTTCACCAGTACCCTTAAAAATCTAAACGCTGTGACGCTCATATTACTACTTCACGGCAGAAATAGGTAAGGTGGCAGTAATTTCTTGGACGAACTCTTTCACAAAGAGCTCTAATGCTACATTTAACAATAAATGAACGGTAGGACGTTGATGATGAGAACGACTTCTTTGCAAAACTATCCTAAAAGACCGTAAGCTGGAGATAAATTGTGTTCATTGAGCAATGCCATTATGTGTGATGGCAAATCAAACAATAGGCATGTTTTATTCATATCCATTGAACAAAATGATTCTCGTTGTATATTGATGTATTATATTATAACGAGGTATTTATTCTTTCTCGGTGGTCTAAAGGTGATTATTTTACACTGCTTGATTTTTTTAATTGAAATTTTTTTACGTTATGTTGTGAAATCCGTTTGGAAAATTAGGTAGAGTTTGTGGATCTAGTAAATTTTAAAGATTTTTCATTTTGGACTAAAGTATTAAGAAGTTCATTGTTAGGTTGTACAAAAGGCAACACATCAAGATCCACATTGGCGGATTGTGTATAGCTTGATGGTCTGTTAATTGTACATTTAAATATTAAAATCATATAAACAAACAAGCAAAAATTTAAGTTGAAGGCAAAAAATAACTTTCATAATGGAATTATTTTATGTTTCATAAATAATGTTAACAACTTGTCGTTGAAATTTGTAATACGATTGAAACAGAATAAAGCCACAAAGAAAGTTGTTCAGTGGAAAGAGAGTCCCGTGAAAGCTCTTCAGACAATCGAAGTTTGATTCTATTTGTCATTTAGTAAACAGAAACTAGAAACTATATAACTATATATACAGTCATTATCAACCTTTTATAGTCCACTAATGAAAAAAAAAACCCTACCCAATGTGCGCCGTGAGGTTTGATATTAAATTGAACTCGTCAAATCGTAATTATAGTTAATATACTATCAATTTTGTAAAATTAGACTTTATACAAGATTTGATTTTTTTCCATAATAATAAGTGATAGGACGAACAAGTCGCGTGGCCGATGGTAAACTACACGCCTATCCGTAACAGGTGCAGTGCCACTCAGAGCTTTAAATTGTAAAGACTGGCACTGCACCCGTCTCCCTGAGACATAAGTTGACAAGTCCTATGTACTTTTAATTGCACCAGCACCCTTACCCTTCAAAACCGGAACGCAGTAATGATGACATTACTGCTTGGCGGCAGAAATAGGTAAGGCGGCAATACTACCCTGGACGAGCTTTTTCACAAGGAGCTCTTGTCTTGTCTGTGTAATATAAGTACTTCGAGTAGCCTACAGTACTGTACTAATTTTCATAGGTTTATTGGTTCTACATACAAACTGTCATCCCCCATTTCACGTCTTTTAAGATTTATTTTTGTGACATAAGTAGCCTATGTCCTTCTCTAACATTCCATAAATTTAGCAATATTTTTTCAGCATGGTTTAAACGTAACAGACAGAGTTACTTTCGCATTTAGAATATTAGTATAGATAGTAAGATTGTAATTTTGACCCAGGCTTTAAACTTTTCAAGACAATTAACTTTGTTTATACACAAAGTTTTGCAAAATTATGACAAAAAAAAATTAATCGAATAAAATAATTTACTTCATATTATCAATGATCGTCTCAAATATGTTTATATTTGAGTCTATTGCAGTCCGTTTAAGACAAAAATACATTTTGCCAACTGTACAGTGACGTGTAAAAATAAAATATAATAGCAATTTCTTCTAAAGAAATTCTGAATTCCTTGCGCTACACATCTGTCATGTTATTTGAGTAAACATCAAACAACGAAATGCCTTATGCGGTATACGCATCCTCTTAATTTTGGTATTCCAGTACCTCAAATCGAGTTTCCAACGTGACCCATATCGACATTACCTTTTATGTGACATGTGTATGGTTTTAAGACATGAAACTGTTACTTTCATACTGTTTTGAATTATAATCCAACGTGTTTGGACACATACAATTTTCAAACAACAAAAGATGGAGTACGAACAACTCAAAAGAATTGAGTGAAATTGTATCACGAAAAAGTTTTACAAAACAAATGCAATGTAAAAAAAATGAAAATGTCAGTGTGTGATTGGTCAGTAATAACATTTCGAGATTAATTGAAAAAGAGACGAGTGTTACAACACAACATACGTCTTGCTTAATTTAAATTGCTTTTCTTAGGAGAGACTTGAAGCACATTTTAATAAATAATATTATAAGTAGATCTAGTCGTTGTAAAATAGTTATACAACTACTCTATCTTCACCTTTCCGTGTCTAATTTCAATTAAGTACTCTAGAAAGATTCAAAGATTGCACATTTAAAAACTGGTTCCTATAAGTCGCCAGTAAGTCTCAAATACAATCAAGTGATCTTATGTTGCGCAAGCGCGTGTGGCGTGACTATGACCCGTGCACTTGCAATCTTGTCAATGAACTGTTTTCAAAATTAGCATATAGTTAGCGTGTACCTATAGATACTATTTGATTTTGTGTAGGTGTGTCCTAGATTGTGCCAAACGTCAGAATTGGGCTATATTTGTTGCCAAAGTTCGATGCACAAATAACTTTTCATATTAAAAAAAAACCGATCTCAGAAAGTTCGTGGAATTATATCTATCTGTTAAGTTTTATTGCAATTGGCTACAGGAAAGTGCGCGAAACCAGATACATTCACTAATTTGCCGCTCTTAGAGGTGGAATATTTTCTTCAAATTTAAATGGGACCTTTTTTTGTTGGAAAGGGTGTACCTTAATACACTCTTTGTAACAAAAAAAGAACAATCGAAATAGGTTCACAATTGCCAAAGTTACTCCAACGCGTTTACTGTATCTGCTATCCGTGTATGGAGTTCTCTCCCAGAACCTATTCGTCGATCCCCTTCTCTTGATTCCTTCAAACATCGCGTTAAGGATCAGTTCCTTAAATACCAAGCCTTTGTTTTATCTCCATTCCATCATTTTATTTTCTTTTGCGTAGTGTTGTAATTTCCTTTATATATTTATTTTACTATTATTACTATTTATTTTATTTTCCTACAAAAGTATTTAAGTATTCGTATTATATATATACGAGTATGTTATAATTATTTACGTATTTATTATAATAATGTATGTATTATTATTGATGAGTAGTGTACTTATTTAAACAACATTCATTACAAGATATTCTTTGGTTGCACCCATTTCAACTGTTAAATTTGTATCCTAAGGTTGCCTGAAAGAAATAGCTACTTAGCAATAAGGCCTTATTGCATGTAATAAGGCTTTGTGCAGTATCACAGAGTAAGATACTGTACAGTAAGCGGCCGCCTTTTGTACATTATCATTACTTACATTACTGCTCTGTGTTGTCATTGTAATTTTTAATGTGTAATAAAAAAATATTTCATTCATTCATGCCGGAAGTAACATACAATAAATACAGTCGAATTGAGAACCTCCTCCTTTTTTTTTGAAGTCGATTAAAAATATGTGATTGTAGTTCCCACGCGCAGATTGGGAACTTCACACACATCATTAAATTTCTTTACAGATGTGTGCAGGTTTGTTGTTTTTCTTCATCAAAAAGCATATGGTAAAATTCAAATTAAATTTCGCACATAAATTCCAACAACAGAGGTGCAAGCCAGGATTCGAACCCCGACCCTCTGCTTGAGAGGCTTTAGGTCAAACCGCTAGGCTACCACGCCTAATTAAATTATTTTAGTAAAACAACACAACGTTTTTGATTATTGTTGTTGTTGTAGCCACGATACTGAGCGGGAGAGGACAGGGTGATGTTTAATGAAGAAGACGTGGTTTATTTTCAGGTTAGTTGCCTCTCCCTAATTTCGGTGGCAATTTTTATTATTTAAATATTCTAGAATATTATCACGAAGTACTATTTAATACTTGAGTAAGTAATAACCTGAAATACTGTTTAATATTTTACGATATACTAAAATCCGAATTTATATATTAAATAATAAAAATTGCCATCGAAATTAAATAGAGAAAATTAAGCTGAAAATTACCCACGTGAGACATTGGTTTGCTTTTAACTATATACTCGTGGAATCCCTAGACACGACTAGGTTTAAACTCTTCGAAGAAATGTAAAATTCTCAACGTGAATTTTGACAGAGGCAGCGTGGTGAATCATGGCCATAGTACCTAGCTTATTTTTACTTTAAAGCAAAGTCGTCCCTAGAAATGTAACATGTATCACCTAATATACCTAGGCAAAGAGTTTTCTTCAAATTTAAAAGGTTTATTTCCGAATAACCGTTTAGTAGCAGTAGAGTTCCATGTGAAAGAGTTCCAGGGAAGTACTGCCGCCTTACCTATTTCTGCCGCCAACCAGTAATGTGAGCATTACTGAGATCCGGTTTTGAAGGGTAAGGGTGCTGGTGAAATTACAGGCACATGGGTCTTTTCAGCTTATGTTTCAGGGTGATGGACGCAGAGCAGTGCAACTCAGTTCTTTGGGATTTGTAGCTTTGAGTGGCACTGCAACTGTTATGGACAGGCGTGTCATTTACCATCAGGCGCACAACTTGTTCGTCCCGTCACG